TTTTGGAGACAAGCATGCAAATAGGAAAGCAGCAGGAGAAGAATTAATATATCCATCGCTGGAAGATTGTAACAAATCAGTGGCTCAGTCATGATAATACATTTAGACTGTCTAAATATTCGTCAAAACAAAAAAGAAACTATTACAGTACTTCTTGAACCAAAAACATTCACAAACAACAGAATGTGTATAAAAAATAATGCATATTCAGAAACATTCAACAAATATACATACCTAAAAGGACCTACAATTAAATCCAAAAAAATGGATGGAAAATCAGCCAGTATTAATCATAAGCTATTTACCTGCTTAAGGAAATTTGCTAGTTTCTTCACTTCTGCCTTTTCTTGAATTAATTCTCCTTCTCTTTGAGTCAGTTGAACTGCCAGAGCTTCCACCTGGGAAAATAATCCAAATAGATAGTTAACCATGCAAATGTGGAAAGATACAACCATGGGTCAAGAGACAACAACTCGAGCCTTTGAAGATTATTTCCTTATAGCAATTAAGTTTCAAAACTATTACAAATAACACTAACCATGGCAATAGCTTCTTCTACATCATTCTTGTTTCTTCCAGCCACGCGTCCTTTTAAAGATTCCAAGGCACCTCTATGCTTCTTCAAAAGGATATGTTTCTCCAGTGAAGCTGCCTCTCTTAGTTTAGCCTAAATCCAATATTATACTAGCTTAAATTTATTCACACAACAACCCACATTATCATTTCTCAATTGTGAATAGAAAAATATAAAACAGATTGAAGAATCACTAGCATAAACAGTACTGAGTCGTCTATCCACTTTCTTCTATATGTGATGCTTCAAGATGTATAACAAAATGATAATAACCATAAACAAAATTTACTATTTCATCATTGATCTCATCTGTGAACAGAAATAACAAACACAGGTAAAAAGATGCATGACAAACTGATAATATCCCATAAAACAGAAATTACTGTTCGAAGGATCTGAGTGACACTGAAAAACTTAGCTAAGCTTTCCGACATAGGACATAGGAGCTTATATTATTATAATATTGACTTACTACAGTTTATTAAAAATTAGAGATATTTTGGATGGCTAGGATTATAAGTTTCCATTATGTTTTAAATCTACGGCTAGGATTAAATTATCTTTGTAACCCTAGATAAATAAGCTGTAAAAATATTACAGTCGCAACTTATCATTATTATTTTCTTTGAATTAAAAGAAAACTGGAGATTTCCCTTAACCCTAAGTTTTTCTTGAGTTCCGTCTTCTTTCCTACTCATTTGTTCAGCCTTATTTCTTTTGGTTTTGATTTTCTTCTTACCCACATCACTTTCATCAGTAAAAGTAAAATAAAAACCGACTTACAAGTAGATTCAAACAAACCTATAGCTAGGATTCTTCATAAGGCCAAAATACATCAATCAAATGTTAAGCAAATTGTATAAATGAATGAACTTAGAATAAATTTGACCTCTTCAGACAACTTAGCAGCAGCAGCTAACCCCTTCTCGAATTTACTAGCAAGATCACGAACAGAGAGCCGTTGCTGCTGCTCCAATAACAACGCGGTCTCACGTGCAACAGCCTCCTTCATAGACAAAACTTTGGGATCTTCTTTGGCATCTGCAATCTGAAGATTGGACCCAATTTTGCAACTAGGAAAACGACTAGAGGTCGAGGCAAATACTACATCAGCTGAAACTGCTTCCTTTTGCATAGTATCACAAAAAAACCCGACCTACCCTCGTCGTTGTTCCGAAACTAAACTCTTTTAAGATCGCCAAAAAAGGGTTAATGTTTGGGTCTTGAAAAAGGTATTTAAACAACTACTACATACAAAATCATTATCAAAAAATGACTTGTGAACAGATTGAACCAGAAATGTGGGTCGCTATCAACCAACCTAAATTATATACATAAGATGAAGTAATTATCTAATATTAGTTGCCAAACGTCTAACTATAAAATCCAATTTAAATCAGATTTTTTAAGAAGCACAAAATTTTCTATAAGCCAGCCCCAACAAGACGCCACAATTAAATACATGCAAAGAAGGGGGAAGAGGAAGGAGGAGAAGGATAACATTTGATCATCCGAAACCCTAATTCAAGAAGAAGAAAAAAGTTAAATAAGAAAGGGGGAAATTGAGAATCGGAACTTACAGATCATGAAAAATATGAGGAAAAACGAAGAAGAAATTAGAAAATTAAATAAAGGAATTAGATTGTTGGATCAACTAGACTGGAATGGAAGGGAACTATTTATATACATTTTTACAATAAAGAAAATCAGTGTATTAGAAAAATCGCAGTTCATTTTTAGCCTTTTTCGGAAAGGCAAGAGAGAGAAAGACGAAGAGCACAAGTAGCCGTCCACGGCCACCTCCTACTTTTACTAATACACTGATTTTTTTTATTGTATTTATATTTGCTTACTATAATTATATTTAGAATAAAATATATAAATCATCTATTAATTATAGAATATTATTTTATAAATCTCTTATTATTAAATATTACAAAATAATTATTCGATTATAAGAAGTTACTTTGTTGGATCATTTGATTATTAAATACTATAAATAATCATTCAACAAATTATTATATTCTAAACTGATCTTTTTCTGTTAAAAAAATAATAATCGTCTGAGTTATATTTTAACACTGAGATTCAAAATTTCAACGAAAAATAACGAATTTGAAACATAACTAATAGTCGAATGATTATTTTATAATTTTTAATAGTTGAGAGAGATCATTATGTACATTTTATAGTCAATGAATTCAATAAAATATTATCATATAGTTGGGGATCATTTGTATATTTTATCTTATATTTAATACAATGATAATTAAAGCTATCTTACCCATATTTTTTTATATATTTTATGTCGGTTGAATTCTTTTTATATCATTTATTTTTTAATTCACATTTAATTATTTCAAAATGATATCTTATATTATCGTATATAAAAATAAACGAAAAACCATGAGAATAGTCCCCTTCGTTTCTGATTTAATCGATTTTTGTCATCAATTTAAAAATTAAAGGTATATGATCCTTACCGTTATCGATTCATTTAATTATGATCCCTAACATTATTAATCTATTTGATTTTAGTCTCTCATACTCATGTTAACCCTTTAATGAAAGTATTATGTCGTAATTAAAAAAAAATCAGGTGTGTCTTCTTCTTCTTCAAGGTCTAGGGTTTGGAAAGGGTCCAAGAAGAAATTGTGACCGTCCATTTCTACGACTTGAGACATGCTGAGAAAGCGTTGATGGAGATAAGAGACCACCAGCACATGCAAAAGCAAATCATGGTCGGGGACTAGTACGTTGCATCTACTATTGGGTGCAACCCCAACACTCGTGGACTAGTAGCGAGGAGACCCGTTCGGGCACACTTCGTTTTTTCAGCGAGTAACGTAGTTCCCGACGGGATTAATCAATGAACTATCGTGGTTTTCAATTTGGACCCCTCCGTTTTAATTTCGAAACTCAGAGAAATTTTCCAAGCTTATGGCATGTTTCCGTTCATTTCTCGACCTTTAATCTTTTTGTTTGTAAAAAAAGGTTTGATCAGAGTTAAGTTTCCATGTTTAATTCGGTTTTTGGTCCATTGGAATTAGCGGTCTCTTGCTTTGTTTAAAATTTGAAACTTTTGTTGTGTAGGCCCAGTGAAGGAACTAAGAGAAACGCAATTGAAGAAACACCAAAAGTTTGTGAGTTTTTTATAAAAGGCTTTGAGAGAAATGAATGGAAAAGAAATTAACGGTTAACGAGTTGTAATCCAATTCAATCGGCCTGTGGATATAGTAGGAAGTTTTATTGCTGATATTAAAGCTTTCACTCATAAATATAGTCACCATACAAGAAATCCTAGTGAAGGAAACCCTAATGAGATGGCAGAAAGGGTTGAAGACAAGGTTGGTTGCGCCGGGAGGGGTCTGAAGAAGACGTACTGTAAAGAAGAAGAAGAAAACCCACGTGATTTTTTAAAAATATTTTTTATTACCACGTAATATTTCTGTTAATATTTCTGTTAAAGGACTAATAGGAATTAGCATCTCATCACTAAAATCGAACAGATATACCATATACCTTTCAATTTTAAATTGATAATCAAAGTCGATTAGGTCAAATATAAAGAGATTATTTGCATAATTTACCCGAAAATAAAATAAATTTATGAATCATTATATATATACTATTTTTTAAGAAAAGTTTATTGGTGGACCTTTTTTTTCCCAAAAATAAAACTTTTGTACTTACGGGTGCACAAAAAATCTGAATACTCGATTTTGCGAAAAAAAATATCTAAAACCAGATTTGAAAAAAATCGATTTTTTTAACCGGATCGGATTTTTTTAAACCGGTTATTTTAACCGGTTTGGAAAAAAAGCCTAAACCTGTTTTTTTACCAGATAAAAAACCGGTTTGAAAAAAATCGGTTAAAAAACTGGTTTTTATCCGAAAAAAAAAAATCCGGTCTGGGTTTAAAAAATTAGCCGTTAATATAACCGTTGGGGGGTTTTGTGACCGTTTTTGATCGTTTTTTTCTTTAAAAAATTATCATTTTATCACCCTAAACATGTATAAATAGATTTTAATTATCGTAAACTTTGTTACAATTGATGACAATATAATTTTAATAATATTAAAATCAGTTTTTTTATAACCAATTTTTTTAAAAAACCGATTTTTTTAAAACCGAAACCGGTTACACCGGTTAAGATATCCGGCCCTCCAAACCGGTTAAAAACCAAACCGGTTATTTTATAAACCAATTTTTTTTCTATGAGAAAAAACCGGATCGGATTGAAATCCGACCTCTGTGCAACCCTACTTACAAGTACAATTATTAGAATTTAAAATTTGAACGAAAGTTTGAACATCCACAAATATTTAATAATAATTGGTGAATTTAAATTCCAAATATCAGATCCAGCACAGAAATTAAATATATATTAAGCATTGGCAGTAGCTTAGAAGCAAAACACATTGAGAAAGCCCAGTCACAAAATGTAGAACAAAGGCAGCACAAAGCAATATCCATGTTGTCTTAAACAAAACTCTTAACTTCCAACAGAAATTTAGATCAGATCCAATTAAAGCAAAAAGAAATATAATACCCAAGTTCATTTTTTAATTCATTCTCCTAATTAATTCATTGATGTAATTCTCGCGGTTGCCGGCATCTCCTCCTTCGACATAGTGGTTCCTCTTCTTCTTTAGACCACCCAAAGGTGCCTTGAGCTGAAAGGGCCAAAGGAAGTTGTTGGCCTCCTTAAAATGAGGTCCCACAGTCATTATCTCGTGGATGAGATCTTCGACACAGATGATACCGAACTTGCCGAGAGCCTAAAGAGCAACACAAGATTAAAAAACATGCTTAGTCATCAACCATGTCACTTCATCTCTCGTCCATTTTTATTCAAATACCCTTAATTCAAACATGGAGTCGAAGATAGAAGATATGTTCATCCATAAGCTCTCTTACTACACCAATATGGAACTTTGTAAATGCAAAAACGATACTGACCTGCTCAACAATTTCATTGTCGGTCAAAGCAATTCGCTGCTTGTTCAACTTCCCATAGCCTCTTTTGTAAATCAATTCCCTAACACTCTTGAGGTTCGGGTATCTAGAGCCATAGCACCGTTCAGAAATAAGATACATCAAACATATAAAAGTACTAAAACGGAAAATGTGGATACACAAAAGGCAAAAGATACCCGTAAGTCACGTAAGGTTCAACCAAGTGAAGCATGTTCACCGTTGCCTTGTTAACTTTAAGAAAAACACCATTGAAAATCTGTATTTGGTAAGAGCAAAAACAACTATTCAGATTCAGGTTTTGTTTATTTATAAAATGGTTGTCCCTTATTCTCATATGTAATGGAGTAAGGGGAAGATAAGATAGTAGGCTGCCCCCAACAACAGGATGAGAGCAGCTTCCGAAGAAGACCTCCGAATTATGAAATGCCCTCCGTGGGACTCAATCCCACGACCTCAAAGTTAAGAACCTTGTTTATGAGTTAACACATGCATCTAACCGTTCAAAAGGAACCACACTTGATGCACACAACAAACACAAAAGGAAAATGGGAAATCAATTCACACAGACCATATTTCTTTGGAGATTCAGTAAGTACCTGTCTCAAACGTAAGAGCTGCAAGATCTTTCGTGTCCTCGGGTGCATGGCATTGATACTGAAAACAAACATTCGTACAATATTACTATTTAGAGTTTAGGTTCATAAACCATTAAAATGTCACAAGAAACACGTACCCACGGATTCGAATAATAAACAAAAGCTTAGCTTCTGGATCAACATAGAATCCTCCTTTCAATTTTGCCTCCCTCTTCAACTGAATCAACTCTTTTTCCTAACAGTTACCAACCACGCACAACGTGATTCAGACGCTTTTATGATCTGATGAAACCAATAAACATAAATCCGAAACGGAACATCACAATTTTTACCTGAGCCTCATACTCCTTTGCATATTGCTTAGCCCTGTTGAAAATCAGCTTCCGATACTCAGCTTTCTTCTTCTTAGCAGCTTCATTCTCCTGCTTTTTGGCAAGCTCCCATTCTTCATTCCTCCTGTTCTTCTTCAACAATGACTCAGGAACCAAAGCCTTAGCTTCCTCACCCATTTCTACCCAAAAATCATATGAAACCAGAGAAAATCAGGAAAACAAATTTCACTTAATATCTAATAGTCCCTAAACAAGAATCAACGAAAATGGTTGTCCTAATAAAGCATATCACTACATAAGATCTTTAAAAAATGGAGAAAATCCCATTGTTTCTAATAATCAATTGTTTATAAAAATGGAATTAGAGCGAGAACCATGGCATTCCATTGACTGATAAACAACAGTTAATATGATTTAAGCATTAAATCTAACTATGGAGGCTTAATAAGACAAATGAATCAAAGCGAGCACCTCTGTTACAGAGTGTATGATCTCAGCTGCGGCAGCTTAAGAGAGTTTAGGGTTTTGTGTATAAGCTGACTAATATAAGGCTTCCTGACCTGACTCTAGGGTTGTTAAAAGTACTGTTTGTCTACCGGATGCCATATTTGGGCCGGGTTTAAGCTTTTGGGTTAAAAACGAAAACGGAATAATTAAAAAGGGAATTAAAATCAAAATCCAACTAAAAATTTAATTTTTAGAGTCCGGCCCAACTCTCTCTTATACAAAATCATCTTTCTCTGCTGGTGTTGACACATACGAATTTGATAGAACCTTTTGGCTTAGCTGCCATTTTCCCCCAGCAATCCGAGCTACCAGCATGAGTTACAGTTTCGCGCGGTACTTTTGGCGCCCAAGGTCAACACGACGAAATTTATCTTAACTGCAATCTTCAAAGACAAACCCCAGAAAGTAAATGAACCATTTCAGCTATTCTTTTCATTTTTTAATGATTATATTTGTTTTTTTCTTCAATGTCTTGATAATGGGACATTCAAAGCCAAGTGCGGAGGAGCTGCTGGTGGAGCCGCCGGAGTTTATGGAGCAATTAGAGCTAAAACTGTGGCTCCCAATCTTAATGTTTTGGCAGATCATTATCCTAGAGGTAACAAAGAATTGCGAGGTTCTTTTTTCTACATGCATGGCCTTATGGATACAATGTCCTGTTTGTTGATAGAGGGGTGGATTTGAAGGTTATTTTCTGTAAACTACTTGTGTATGATATCGTGCCTTAATATGCCCATTGGACATATACCCGACCAATACACTTAAACCCGAGTATAGTTTTTGAAAGTTGCTGTCTTCCTCTTGTTTCTTTCATTATTTCACATTTGCAGTTTATACATATATGTCACGGACCGAAGACGACAGAAGAGTGTTTCCTGTCAACAACAGTTCTTCGTCAGTCATTGATTGTCTTTTATCTGAGGCAAAGTGTATGGGAGGTATGTCTCTTTGCACATTGATTGTAACAACTGGCTATTTTGTTCCGACTTTCCATTTTTCTTGGAGTACCCATGTCTGACAGGCTGACACATATTTCGACATAGATTAATGGGGTACCTTCCAATGACCCTTGAAATAGTTAAAAAATTGAAATAAATAAATATACCTGTCACAGATGTATGCAATATCTGACGCACACACCCAAATCTGAGTCTCATAGTAGCAATATGTTTATTACTTCAACATGAAAGACTTTCTTTGTTACCATGAAAACTTAAATCGTCATTGCATTGCATATGAATGTTAAATCTTAAAATTATAGCAGGTTCTTGTTGATAATGTAAATCAAACACGTCGTAAATGAGTTAACTATAAAAATAACTAAACAGTCATAGAACTTTGTTTGGTGTCTTTAATGGATGGCAATCCTCCTCCTTCTGCTAGATATCAGAGAGAAAAGAAGCTGAGTGCATAAATGATGGTGGCTTGTAATCCATCCATGATATTATAGCATATTAATTTAGCTGCCAATGCTAAAATGGTACCAATTCCCTTGACCAGTTTCTGTGCAAACCGGGAAACTTGTGACCAGTGCATCGGCTAGTGCTAGCTGAAAATTCCTTCTCAAGATCGAGAAACGTACACTCAAGGATGTTGAACTTGTCGAAGCTGATTATTTGTTGATTGCTGGTGGAAGTAGCCCGCAGGTGTGGATGCATGGATGGTATATTAGCATAAGTGCAATGAGTTTTCTGATAAATGATTTTTTCTCATCTCACAGGGTCATAGTATTGCTGTTCAGCTTGGTCATTCAATCATAGATCCGGTGTCAAGTTTATTCACTTTTAGGATCGAAGATGAACAGCTGATAGAGTTATAAGGGGTAACTTTCTCCATGGCTCAGCCTGTGCACATTGTCCTATTATGATCATTTCCGCATCTTGGAATTAGGAATTTATTGTGTTATTCTACAATATAGGGAAATGATTGCTTGGAAAACCCTTAATCATGCTATTTTAGATTTCAGTATAAATACTGAACTAATTTTGTTTTCAGTATGAGCTGACCATAAAAAGTTATCTTGCAAAAGCATACGCCATCTAAGAATTTTTTCTATCATTTCCAGGATATGCTTTTCTATCTTCAAATTCAAACGTGTGTGGTATTTGCAATTGATGTCCATTATTTTATTTTCTCCAAAGCTTGATTTGTTATTTCCTTTTCCTTTTCCTTTTCTATGTCTTCAGGTTACGTTTTCAAAGGTTATTGTGAAGCTGAAATTAGAAAATGTTCAAAGGAACATACCCCAACTTACCCAGGCATGTGTTTTCTGATGTTATAGTGTATTAATAATGCTCACTAGCTTGTATCCTATAACCACTAACTGATAATTCTGGAATATTAGGTTGGTCCCATGTTAGTCACTCACTGGGGTCTTAGTGGACCGGCAATTCTTCGGCTATCTGCTTGGGGTGCCCGATATCTGTATACCTCAGATTAAAAAGGTGAGTACATTATCATACCCGGCCCCATTATACAACATTTGTAGTTGATCTCCTAAATTGATTGTTTTTCAATGCAGGGAAACTAATTGTGGATTTTGTACCTGATTTGCATATAGAAGATCTAAAATCCGTGCTGAGTCAACAGAAAAATAGGTTTCTGGTAATTTTGAATCCACTATTATCTGCCTTTAGGCTTACAGTTGGAGCCTTGAATTGGTTCTGTTAACATTTAATATTTTTTAGGTATGAGTAATTATTCAGGTTGAACTCAACTTGTTATCTTGATTCCATAGTCTGAGGCATGTAGACTGGCATTTTTAGTTTATCTATAGCTTGAACCAGGATAACAGCGGAATCTACTATCTGACATTACAGATCTTTGTCTTGAATGCTTGCATACGGCAAAAGCACCTGTATACTTCATTTTTCTTAAAGTACTTGTATCCGACACCCATACCCAATTCTAATCCAGACATGAGAGTACAAACTTGAAAATCTTAGAAAAAGTTGAACGTATCCTTGTCGGATGCTTCCATTAAAGTTGTTTCTTGACTTTCTACTCTATCTACTAGCTGTATTTTTTTCTTGACTTATCCCACGTAACTTCTGAATTTGTGGGCTTGATAGTCTATAGTAAATTAGTGACAGCATGCTTAATAGAAGTTGTTTGTTTCTTTATCTATCTTTGTCCAGAAACAAAAGGTACTGAATTCATCTCCTGTGGATTTACGACTCGTTAAAAGATTTTGGAAGTATATATTGGGCCGTGAGGTTAGAGAATGTTTCAATTTGAAAGTTTATAGTTCATCTTTTATATCTGCTGTTTTCAGTTGAACTTATAAACAAAGCCCTTTTTCATAGGGTTTAATGGGGGATACTTTGTGGGCTTCAGTTTCAAATAATTCTATAGTTTCTATTGCAAATCTCTTAAAGCATTGCACATTCGAAGTGAAAGGAAAGGTGATTCTTAAACCTGTTAAATCTGTTCAATATTTTTGTTGGTTACTTTTCTGAACTGATGCATTTATCCTTTTAATGAAGGGCCAATTTAAGGATGGATTTGTCACTGCCGGAGGAGTCCCGCTGTCTGGGGTTCACACTTTTTAGTCTCTTTTTATCCCTCTTTCCTGTATCTCTTAGATATTTGACTTTATTTTCTTGCTTTGTTGAAGATCCATCTGAATACGATGGAAAGCAGAATCCAACCAAATCTATACCTTGCAGGAGAGGTAGTTAACTACATGCATGGTTCTGATTTTTGATTCGATTGAGTCTGTAGTTTTGTGAGCCAGCGTGTGTAGTGAATTTTTTAGGCTGTTCTTGCATTGATGAACTTGAAACTCAATTGCAGGTACTAAACGTTGATGGGGTAACCGCTGGTTTCAATTTCCAGGAGAGGAAGCTGTCATTATATTTATAGTGTCTCAAGGGTACCTAGTATATGGTAAATGCAGAAAGTAGATTTCACCATTGTAGTTGAACTTTAATAGAAGCCGATTGCCAACTGCATAGTACCAAAGCACTTTGACCTCGTCAAGGTGGTGGCGAGGGTTGACAGAACAACCCAAACCATTGAGTTCCAAACCAGTTTGATCTTATAAGGCGGGTTTCTCTTGAAAATCAGGATCATGGGCACGGAGGGTCATTTTTTATTAAAAAGGGTTGGGTCGGGGATGGTATATGTCGGGCTTAGCATTGAGGACCATAATGTTAAATAAAATCTGGACAGGTTTCGGGTACTAATGCATGGAAATCGAGTCAAGCTAAGGGTTAGTAAAAGACCGCCCTGCCCTGTTTTCTACCCTAGTGGCGTTGTTTGCGGGTGAGAAGAGTGGTGTGTATTTTTATCACATTGACTTTGGTTCTTGTTTTGTCAGAATGCTTGGTCTGGTGGATATATTGCCGGTTCCAGCAGTGGTAGAGTTGCAGGCAATGCTAATTTGGAGGGAGCTATGTGAATCAAATATTGTTTGAGAGTCTAGATGTTGATGCAGTGGACTACTGTATATATAAAAGAAACTTGTTGTTAGAATTATGTACCTTAAAAGAACATAGAATTGTGTAATTTTCGACCATTTTCAAGCGTTACTCAAAATTTCGTACTGTAATTGAGTAGCTACTTGGTTTTTTATACTTTAGATGGGATTAAGAGTTTGTTCGAACAATAGTTACAATACTTCATTTAAAGATAATATAATATAAATTATGTGTTTAATATCTTAACTATTAATTTTGGTTTGTTTTTGTATTTAAATTTTTAATTTTTAAAAAAAAATCATACTTAAAGTTTATTTTTTTTTGTTTTCATTTAGTACTCATTCAAAATTTAATGTTAAGTTTTGAAAATAAATTTAAATTTAGTTACTAAAACGGATCAAAATTGATAGATTAGATATTAAACGTGTTAAGTTATTAACGGTGGGATACTCAAATAAAACAAAAATTAAATATTAAAAAAATATTAAAATAGATTAAAACTAATACTTTAAGTACAAAATACTTTATAAAAAAATTAACATTTAAAATAATATTAAGATAATAATATTTAATATTTGATAAATTAAAATTAATAAAATATAATTTAAATAAAAAAATATTTAAAATAAAAAAATCCAGAATTAAATCTGACTTCATACAAGTCAAGCTAAATCAATTGGTCTAGATAATTGTCCTTCGGACAAATCTAAGAATTGTTCCTACATTTATAAATTCTAGGGTTTTTTTTGAAGCTCATAGTTTGACTCATATAAAATTACTCGAGCTCTCACTCTCCTCTCCTCCCGAATTTGCCTCAATTTTGCTCAGATTCTCCACAATTCGTCTGTTCTCCTTCTTCAAACTCCCACAGATGGCCATCACTTTCTCAGATCTCCACACTGAATCCGGCCTTAAATCCCTTAATGACTTCCTCAACGGCAAATCTTACATCTTTGGGTATATTTCTCACTATTCTCTCAAAATCTCTATCTCGACCACTTCATGTTCGTTGACTATTAACAGTAAATTTAGTGGATATTTTTTGTTCTTTCTTCTTTCCCAGGGATAAGCTGACCAAGGATGACATAAAAGTTTATGCAGCTGTTTTGAAAAATTCTGGCGATTCGTTTCCCAGTGTGAGCCAGTGGTATAACTGTGTGTCGTCCCATCTTGCCACAAGGTATGATGCCCTTTTACTTGGTATCATCTGTACTTAGAATTTGTTCTGAATCTGAAGGTTATGCATTTGTTTGTTTATAATGGTTTTTCTGTAGCTTCCCTGGGAAAGCTGTTGGGGTTTCACTTGGTGGCAAAACTGACCCAGCTAAAGCTGAGGTTCATTTACTCAATTTTAACTTCTACTTTTGAATATTGAGTGTGCTTGAGATTCAAGTAGTTTTATTGTTGTGTTTTAGCTTAGCTCGAATCTGTGCATTAGTAGTCTAATTATCGATTTTGTTACTGTAATTGTTTAGTCAATTTTCCTTTTTCTGGTAGTCTCCTGCTGCAGACGATGGTATGGATCTGTTCGGCGAGGAAAAAGAGGAAGAAAAAAAGGCAGCAGAGGAGAGGGAAGCCGCTGAAAAGACAGCTAAGAAGAAAGAGAGTAAGTATTTGTGTCGATTAATGTTAGGTTTCTGCGAGTTGAACATATGTCTTCGTCACTCGAATGCACTTTGAATTTTGTTGTCTTCATGACAATTTTAGGTTATTTCAGGTGGGAAATCTTCAGTGCTTTTGGATGTTAAACCATGAGATGATGAGACTGAGATATGAAGAAGTTGGAAGAAGCTGTTCGATCTGTTGAAATGCCTGGCCTTCTGTGGGGAGCATGTATGGTTTGGTTTTAATTTCTTGATCCGGTTTTCCATTTTCCTTAAAGTAATTACACCAGGCACTTATACCCGACCAGGGTATTGAAACGTACGGAAAATTTAACATTACTCATACCGAACATGGATACATTCCTGCCCTTCCCGGGACTCACCTTTGAATCAGAGCAAACAGTTAATTTCTATGAGATCTTAAATGCATGAAACAACTGCTGCTTACATGCATGTTCCTAACTATCACACGGTTTTGCATAATCTACGTGCAGCGAAACTGGTTGCGATATGGCATTAAGAAGCTCCAGATCATGCTTACAATAGTTGATGATCTAGTTTCCGTCGATACACTTATCGAGGAGCACCTCACAGCTGAACCACACAATGAATATATTCAGAGCTGTGGCATCGTTGCGTTCAACAAAATTTAGATGAGGGCGTTCCTTTCCAACAACATCGTAAGCCAATTTCAGCCATGTTCGGTCCTTTTTTGTTCCTTGCTTTACCCTAATATGATTTTCTTCTTCGCTGTGATTGCTACTGCTTTTGCTTGGGAATAGATTAAATTAAGAACTTGATGGTGTCTTGCTAAAAGGATATTCTGGTGTAGTGTTTAATGTTTTTGATTCGGTTTAAGGATGTTGAGAGAAGAGATTTTGCGCAAGCTATTTAACTACAGAATCGATCATATAAATGCACGTCTATACTGCTCTTGTTTGATCCCTTTAACGTATCGGTGAAAATCGAATGCATGGTAGATATTTTACTATGAATCGATTGGCTATCTCTATGGGTATTTGATATTTGGTATTTGATATATTTTGTTTTCATCATTGAAGATTCAAAAATAATGAAACAATCACTAACACTTTCGTTTTGTCACTAACACCATTATCTTATTAACAAAAGTGTTAGGATCAAAGAGGCTCAAATCAAACAATCGAAAAATGTCAAAGGGGTGAATTGATAAAAGTTTGTTTAGAGAGTAAGGAGAGTAAAAGATAAGACAATGGATACAATGATTTATAATGGTTCGACTTCTCAATTAAGTCTACCTCCACTACTTTAGCTCCTCACTAAGGATTTTCTAACAAATTCACTAATTTGTTATTTTTTTTTCAAGGATCAAGAGTAATATTTACAAACTCATCTTTTTACTTGGTTAAGATAGAACTAAAAACCCATTTACAAAAGGATAAAATAAGTAAACAAAAAAATCTCTCTAAAGTAGGTGTTTACAAAATTTAACTCACTAAAATATAAATATTTACAAGAGAATTGGAACAAAAAGTGAAAAGCTCTTCTCTCGTGTTTGATTGTTTAGATAGGTGTTCTAACCCTTCTTCAAGTGTACTTTACTTGTATTTATATGTTGTAATGTTGTTGTGGTCGTTTCTAGCCGTTGAGAGTGTTTTAGAGCCGTTAAGAGGTGTTTTAGAGCCGTTGAGAGTGTTTTAGAGCCGTTGAGGATCGATTTTCGTGCAAAATAAAACTGCTAAGAACATATGATATTAGTACTCTTAAAGGGAGTATCGGTACTACTTTTGTTATTTTTAATTCAATTAATCGTTACTAGTCGTTGGGGCTTGATGGTATCGATACTATGCCTATGATATTGATACTACTATATAAAGTATTATCGGTACCCTTTTGGGTATTGATACCATTTTTTACATTCTGAAATTTGAGCAATGTTGGTAGTATCAATAATACCTAGTGAGTATCGATACTTCCTTTACCTTTGGTATCGGTACCATATAATAGTATCGATATTGTTCATGAGGTATTGATACTTCTTGTTCAGAAAATTGTTTTGTGCTCAATTCCAAGTTTTTTAAAGACTTTGAATTATTTTTGAAAATTTTGAATAAATTCAATTCAAGTCAAAAAACATTTTGCCTTAAATTGTTATATCAAAATATAGTTCAACAATCTCCCCTTTTTGATATAACAAAACATTTGAAAAATTGTTTTTGGCAAAACTCCCCCTTAAAAATATTTAATTAAAAAGATACTTATTTTTGGAAAACATGTGAAACTGTTCAGCTTCCCTTTTTCATTAAGAAAATGAATTTTTTTAAACCATACTTCTCCCCTTTTTGTTAAATAAAAGTAATTCAACTTTAAAGTTCAAAAATAACTTTGGAGAGTAAGTTGTAAATTTGACATTAAAAGCTTTTGAAAAATCAAAGCTCCCCTCAAAAAGTGCATCCCAAACAAAAAAAATTACTTTAAAAACTTGACACTTAAACAAAATTGAATTTCAACAAAAAATAATAAACATGTTAGTAGCACATGAAATTCAATATATCAAAGTTTAAAATATTTTATGCAATACCAATTTTTGAAATTAAGTACATGTACGTAAAACTTAAAAAATGTTATGCATTTGAAGAATTTGATATCAATTGTTAGAGATATATCTTTTGCATTTAAAAACACATGCATAAACTTTTAAATTTAGGTCAAAAATTAAAAAAAAAAATCAAAGCATTTGAAAAGTTGATATCAATTGTTAGAGAGATATCATTTGTATTGAAAATCAATTTTAACCAAAATTCTTTATGATTAATTAAAAATTATGAAAAATCATTAAAACTTTAAAATGTTCATCATAACACCTTTTCAGCATACATGAGATGAAAAACAAAACATAACCATTTAAGATCAAAACTCATGCATGCCTAAAACTAAATGAGCAACCAAATAACCAAAATAAGAACATTAATCTTGGAGGTTACCCATTCCTTTTTCAAATGTGGTTAGAGAATCTCAATTTCTTCACATTCATCACCATTGCTCTCACACACCTACAAGAGATATTTAAGTAGATTTTGGTATATAAATTGCTTTAGATCCTTAGACGTCAGTTTCAATGTCCCTTGTTCCCTTAGAAATCTATACTTGTCTAATTTTAAAAGATTTTCTTTTCTTTATGGGATAAATATGTTCATTGTGACTATGATAATGACAATGTGAGTATTATGTCATTATTAAACTAGATGAATTATTTAAAATGATTTATTTTTCTTTTGTTAAGCATTTAAGCTTAACTTTTAAATCAAAATTTTTTTTTTCAAAACTTTCAATTTTCATTTTTAAAAGCCTTAAATCTTTTTTCAAAATTTCATTTTGGTTTTCAAAATTCATTTTAGCTCTCAAAAGATAATCATTTTCAACTTTAAATTTAGAAATCAATTTCTTGTATTTGGAGTTCATGATCTCAAACTCCAAAAATAATTTATCGTATGCATCTTGTAACTCATTAAAAGAATATGAATTTAATCAATTTGAGTTGGAAGATACATCGGGCTCTTCACGAGCTATTAGAGACACTAAATTTATTGGTTCTTCTTTTTTGTTTCAATGAAGCTTTTCGAGCTTATTCCAAAGCTCTTTAGCACTTGAACAAGAAGAAACTCATTCATTTACTTCGGAACTAAATGCACAAAACAACATATGCATGACCTTGGCATTAAGTTGAGCTTTCTTCCGTTCTTGGACACTCCAGTCCTTCTTCTTCTTCTTTGGAGAAGAGTAGTCGTTCTCGATATGCATCAAGATAATTGAATTAGATAAATAGCTTCATTAATTTCTTCCAATGACGGTAGTTGACTCCATTGAAGTATGGATGCTTGTTGATCGATTGGGTGTCTTCCATTTGGAACAAGCAGGAGGTAGAAGTCAACTTCTCGGTTGTGTCGGGAATCGGTAGAGCTTCTTCTATGATCGTCTCAAGGTGGTTAAACCTTCTAATGAGTCAAGCTCTGATACCAATTGTTGGGATCGAAAATGTTCAAATCAAATAACCGAAAAATGTGCAAAGGGGGTGAATTGATAAAAATTTGTTTAGGGGAGTAATAATAGTAAAAGATAAGACAATGGACACAAGGATTTATAGTGGTTCGACTTCTTAATTAAGTCTACCTCCACTACATTAGCTCCCCACTAAAGATTTTCTAACAAATTCACTAATTTGTTCTTTTTTTTTTCAATGATCAAGAATAACTTTTATAAACTCCCTATCTTTTTACTTGGCTAAGATAGAACTAAAAACCCCTTTACAAAAGGATAAAAGAAGTAAACAAAAAAAAACTCTTTAAGGTAGGTGTTTACAAAATTTAGCTCACTAAAACACAAATATGTACAAGAGAATTGGAATAAAGAGTGAAAAGTTATTCTTTTGTGTTTGATTGCTTAGATATGTGTTATAACCCTTCTTCAAGTGTTCTCAACTTGTATTTATATGTTGGAATATTGTTGTGGCCATTTTTAGTCGTTGGGAGTGTTTTGGAACCGTTGGAGATCAATTTTCGTGCAAAAAAACTGTCCAGAACGGAGGATATCGGTACTCCTAAAAGTAGTATCGGTACTACCTTTGTTATTTTTAAATCAACTAGCTGTTACTAGTCGTTGGGGCCTGATGGGATACTATGCCAATGATATTGATATTACTATACAAAGTAGTATCGGTACCCCTTTGGGTATCGACACCATTTTTACATTCTGGAATTTGAGCAATGTTGGTAGTATTGGTATTACCTAGTGAGTATCGATACTTCCCTTACCTTTGGTATCGGTATATATGAACAATATTGGTACTGTTCATGAGGTAAAGATATTGTAAGAACAATATCGATATTTCTTGTCTAGAAAATTGTTTTGTGTTCAATTCTAAGTTTTAAGGACTTTGAATTATTTTTGAAAACTTTGAATTTGAAAACTTTGAATAAATTCAATTCAAGTCAAAAAATATTTTGCTTTAAATTGTTATATCAAAATATAGTTCAACAAAAAGATTGATGTGACATGTTTGGACGATTGAATTGGTATTATTTGACCATGTTGACATCTTCTGATAACCCATTTCGATTTTCATTTATGTTGTTAATGGTAAACAATAAAGATTTAGTTCTTCATTAATAGGAGACAAAGTTCATTTATAATTCATCAGGATGCTACTCAATTCTTTTCGAACTAAAAATATTGTTTCCCTCCAAAAGTTTGACATTTTCTTATTGAACTCATTAAGCGACCTCAATAGTAAATGAGAGTAATATTCTCTTTAGAAATTTTGAATTTTAGTAGTTATATATGTGCGTTGTTAATTACTAAGAAAAATTTTAAATAGATATTTATGATCATTCTAAAGTCTAGACTATTTTTTTACATTATTAAATACTTGAATTAAGTTTGATTTATTTATTTGCTTTTCCTAATCTCTTAGGGTCGGTTTGGTAATGCTTTTGAAATACAATTTTAGCTAAAAAGCTTGTTTTGACCGTAAAATCAATACGAAATAGTAAAAAATGAAGAAACAAATTGCAGTAGAAACTTTGGTTTCAAACAAATCGTAAAAACTAAGATTTTTAGCATTTTCATTTTCAACTTTGCATTTGAAAACAAATTATAATTTTAACATTACTAATGCAACTAATGCAGGACTCCACCCAATTATGTATTTACATTTTATTTTAATAATTTAATACTAACCTTCTTAAAAAATAATTTATTACTACTTTTAATAATTTATTTTAATTATTTAATAACAACATTTTATTTTAATAATATAGGCACTTGTTTTCGTCTGAGGTCTATATTCCTTTCCTTATTATAAATATTTACATTTTATTATTTG